TGCCTGAGTCTTTCTATGCCACACCTATAGCCAGACTACGTCAGCAGAGCAACAGTAAATATGCATCAACAGTCTTGAATTTAAACTACATTTTTTCCACCAACAGTCTGTGAGCAACACCTACCTCCCCTCACCATCTAAAAATCCTACTGAAAATAGTTCCTCTAAAACCAATTTTGCTGGTTCTCCCATATCCCTCTTTCATCCCGACATTACATTGGTTTAATTACTCCACACTCTCAATAATACAGGGGTAGTCAAGACCAAATAATAATGCTTTAGAAAATCAAGTAGAATGGATGCAACTCAGAAACAGTGCTATTTCAAGTCAAATCATTTCCCACTGTTGCTACACACCATATAATTAGAACTTTTGTTCTAGTACAGCAAATTCCTAAACTCTATCCTCAGACATGCCCCTGAGCCTGTTGATTTTTCTCCCTTGTATTATAAACTGCCATATCCTACTCCAGGTATCAACACACCCACAGATTTCCACTGCGGGCATAACATCTTGACTGAATTACTTATAAAGAAACTAGCAAGATATTTTTCAGATTTGCAGGAAATGGTTGCTCAGATCAACAATCTCCAATCACTTCCAATAGCAGGCCATGGATCCACTGTGATGAAGAAGTCCACATTTACTCTCCAGGTTCTATAATAACATGGCCCAGAGGCTTTCAGAATAGAACTCTAGTGCATTCAGAATTACATGAGCATGCACAGGTCAGGTGCAATTCTCCAATTATACAGGTCAATATACGATTATACAGGTGATCAAATTATTAAGACCACTTGTAAATCAATGAACAAATTTACTTTCCATAATAAAAAAAAGAACAACATGCTGTTTGCAAGGTAAATTTTAAGAAGCTCCTCCTGCTCAGAAATGTTATCGTTTTCTCCATTTAGGACGACCCCACTCAAATCAGCAAAATGCTGTAAAGGCGATTGCAGTCAGTGTCCACCAATAATAAAAAATGCTAAACCAAACGGTAAATGCTCAGTCGCTCCCATTCTAAAGAGTGTTGAGAAATGGCCCATTAGCTGTCAATAAAAACACTCATCATTGGCTGCTTTGCTAAAGATTTTTGGTGTTCTCAATGAATTTCTTAAACTTTGTTGGTTTTGAACAGTAAATCAAGCTACTCTTATGCTATATAGTTCATAATGTCTACTGAACCGACATCAGGGAAACCTTCAACTACTTTACATAGTCATACATGTTATTTATAGTAATAAACTAGCAGCTTAATGTAATTAAGATATCATTTATTTTTGTTACCATCTACAGCAAATCAGTTTCAATTTGACAAAATTATCAGGGCAGGCTTACTGAACTTTATCAAACTTGCAGTCTATAAGTATTTCCTTTCCAGCTTGGTTTTGTGCAAATACAATTCGAGATTCCCTTTCTTCCACCGTTTGCTTTAGATAACTCATGACATTTTTACTACTTTTAAGCCTGAATGCTCCTTTGTAGCAAATTACTCAATATTTTGGCTCACTTTTCATACCCTTATACCCCAATTGATATCTGCTTTTAGGAATACATCTTGTGCAACTGATAAAAAGACGACCATGCCTAGATTACACCCTGTAAACTTCTGTTTTCTCCTTTCATGCCTTCCTCAACACTTACCTTGTTGAGGCATTCACTGGCTGCTTTTACGGCTAAATTTCCATTTCTCACCTGCCCCAGGAACTTTATCTACATTATAATACTGAATAAAAAGGAAGTTACATGCCCATCTCCTATTTTTTTTTAAAAAACATACATACACTGTTTAGGATTCTATTTGAAAAGGTCAAATCTAAAAATAAGTTAAAACAGTTTAAATGAAATTCATAACTGAACACACCTCTCGGCACAGAATTTTATATAATCCTGACTCTCTATATTAAAAAAAGGACTTCAAACTTAGCTCTAAATAGGGAACTATTTCACTTTTGTTAAGCAAGCAATGCTAAATTAACTAGCACTGATTTAAAATAAGCTTCTTGTCCCGTTTCAAACACAGATGGTACATTTCTCCCACCTATAAGCACAACGGTTAATCTCTGCCCCTCCTCTAACTGTGCTGAGGATTTGCTCATTAAACTGTGAATGAAAACTAGCATCTGTGCCTATCTGGATGTTAGAGAACACAATTTAAGCTTAACGTTACTCCTAGCAAAGAATAGAAGCAATTTCAGCATTAGAAGTATGAACGTCTCAGACATTAGGTAAATATGTCTTCTCTAACTAACCTAACATACAAAAAACAATCCTTCACCCAGAACACCAACTAATGTGATTAGTCAATAACAGTCTGTATTTCTCACAATTTTAAATTTCATACAATAATACAGAATTGACAATATTGTTTCTAAACCAAATAGATAAAAATTACAAAATTAGACATGTCATGACCCCAATGCTACACATCTTAGGACTGATAACTTGAAGCTGAAGTATGAACAGTTACAATTACCCTCTAAATTACCAAAGGTTCATAAGCAGCTAGCTTCTTCATATTTATGGTTCTTTTCCAGTACAAAACTCAAAAACAAGGGGATAGCAGATAAGCAGCTAAACATCACACCATGCAAGATATCTGATGGCTAGATGAAATAATGCTATATTTGAATTTATTTCGATAAACACTAAAATATCAAGCTAATCACAAGTATCTATGGTCACTTCCATAAAAGTGGAGATAAACAAGGATAACTAAGTCCAATTTTATTTTGATGATATATCAAAAGATACTCTCTCATGTGGTAAGAATATTAAAGATAAAGTCACCATAGTCATACTGGACAATAGGGCTGCTCCCTCAGAGACAACTGGTGATGGTTTAACCCAAGGGTCACATCACAGGCAAGGAGAGAGGCGAGAAGAAAAATCCTTCACAGCAACCTCAGCTGGTGTAGGAACTTAAACAAGCTGATGACATTACTTTTCACAATAAAATTAGCCATCCACCCAACTGAGCTAACCAACTACCGCTTATCATCAAGGGGAAACAGAATAGGATTGCAGCAGCAGGTAGATGGAAACTCAAGTATTCTGCCCACTGAAGATTTACATGACCTAGGCTATATATCTTCTCATTATGACGCACAAAATACCTTTGAATATTTTATTTTTCTGTCAGAGAGATAGCTTCATACGTATTTGTTTGCTTTTATTCCAGGAAAGATCAGAATTTCTGCACTCAAGTTCCAGCAATTATTTTCATCAGCCTCAAGCAATATGGATACTGCTATGAATAAAGGCGTTCATGTCCATGCCTTTTCCATACATGGGATGTGTCTATTATGTTTCCCCTCAGCAGTCAACAGGCATTGTTCTAGAAATAATGAAAAGTGATAAAGTGCTCCAATTTTAATTTTCTGCAGCAGCTTACTTGGTGCTCTTGGATTTTTTTGTATTACAATTTTAAAATAAGATCATGATTGTTGGGGAAGCTGAAGAACACTACAATGTTTAAAGATAAGGTTTCCTAGGATGGATACATGAAGTATGCAATGGTTATCACTGCACAGTGCATTAGTATCTGATTCACCAATACAAAAATGACATTCAAATTGGTATGATTCAGAATCTGAACTCAAAAGAAAACATGACCTAGTTGAGAAAGGTGTCCATACTCCCTAAATTCAAAGTGCAAGAGAAATGGCAATTTCCTAAGGTTAATTTAAGTAAATTTGAAATTACTGATTTCATTTCTGCTGGGGAAGTGGGAAAGGAAGGAAATGAGGGGAAGATCCAGGTAACTATTTAGGGAAGTTAAGCTAAAAGTAAATACTCAATAGCAAGGAATATTAACTAAATATAAAAAGCACTGGCAATTTTACTTTATCCCTCCACCAACCCTGTTGAACAGTTTTTTCATATCACCTTGAGATACTTGTGATTTGTAAACTAAATAGATGCATCAAAAGATATTGTAGAGATTGGACAAACTATATTACATTCAATAGGCGCAGACCACCACAGCGAAGTTAGTGTACCAGTAACTATCAGTTGCTTCACACATCACTTTCCTATGCTAGGTCACACTGCCCTTTTCCTTCAGCAATACAACTGATGCCTTTTAGAAAATTTAGATGATAACTGCTTTTGGACAAATCTAATCTATCAAGAATGTATCTGGAAGAGAAGACCAAAAACCCACGGTAGCAAGGAAATTGCTAACAGCTTGTACCAAAACAAATTCTGAGATGTCAAATAGCTTGAAAGGTTTACTAAGATTTTGTTTTGATCCCAGTATCGACTTTCCATTTTTAAATATGTAATGATAGCTGAAGAAATAAAGTGGTTAAAACCTTGTGGAACGTATAGTACGACAAACTTAGTTCATTTTTGTGTAGGCAGTGAATGGCAGCATGCATACAGTTTCTCCTCGTTTAAAGTTGTCTACCCGCAATTGCTCTTGGATACTAACGTTCAGTTACACAGCAGGGAAAATCATTACTGGTTTAGAAAATGAATGACCTACCTTTCAAAAGTTACATAGTGAACTCAGCAAAGCAATACTTTCTTGGGATTTAGGAAGCTGCCAGACCATGATTTGAAATATCTATAAAAATATCTATAATTTAACTTCATCCTGGAAACATACACGTGACAGAAATAAAGACGAGAGGTTGTGTGTTTACAAGTGTTTTTAAAATTTTGTTGGGCCCTGTTCTTCCTAAGAGTGTTTTAATTCTACAAAGAATGAAGTTGCATGAAAACATGCACAACAGCTTATTCAGTCGATCACCGCAGGCTGCATTTGCGGTTTCTCTTTTAAAATGGCACTTGCGCACCTCGGTATGGAACCCTGGATTTGCAGAACTTCACTGCACCGATTAATTTTGTTCGTTTTCGGGAGATTGCGGGGTGGTGGTGGTTGTGGCTTGAGTGGGTGCAGGGGGGAGTTTCATTTTGCGGTAACTTGTCTTTTGTTTTCCTCTTTCCCCCTTTGAAAAAAAATGCCTGTTCACAGACTGTCTGATTGACTCACCAGCCCGGTCCCAACTGTTGTGGTAGCTCCAACGGTCTCCGATGGCGGCGACCCGATCTTGCTGCACGTAGCTGCCAGCAATGCAAGCGGTGACGGCTGAATGTTCTACCCACAGGGGGCGGGTTTAGGAGGAAAGTGGGTGTGAATTAGTCCGGGGCTTACACAGGAAGTAACCGTACACATCAAAATTTAAACATGTGAACACACACATTACAGATTCTGTTTATTAGCAAACTGCAAGACAAAAGAAAGCGCGCCAGTTAGGTCCGGCCTTACCTGCGCGCCGGCGGCGTTTCGGTGCTGCAGATACTCGCTCTGCTTGTCCACGTCCAGCGCAGCCATTTCCTCTTGCTTCACTGGCTTTTCTGGAGCTGCGAAGAAGGAAGGAAGGAAGGAAGGGAAGGGGGTCGGGGTAAGAGAGAGAGAGAAAAAAAAATAAAAGAAACGATCATGAGGGTGAAGACCTGTAACCGTGGGCGGTCAGGAGACGGTGATCGGATTGAACGCGGGCTCGTGCTCGGGCCTGGGCCTGGCCGCCGCACCGGCCTTTCTACAAACCTACCAGTCATAGCGGCTCCCACCTCGGGCGGCACGGCACGGCTCAGCTCAGCTCACACCGGCTCGGTTTATACGGTTAACATTGTGTCTCTCGGACGCTGACGCCGGGCGAGCGTCGCTGGTGTTTTTTTTGTTGCTTTGATTGACGGTGCAGGAAGCGGAGGGGAGGAGGAGGAGGAGAGGTGGGGGTTGGGGTGGGGTGGGGTGGGTGCTCGAAGGGTGGGGCTTCGAGCCGAGACCGTCCGGGGGTCGGCAGAAAAACCACGACGTTCTTGTGCCTGCAACCGAACACCATAGCGGATGTCCCCGCCCTCCCACTTCCTCCTCATTGGCCCGCTGCCGCCGTGTCAGGATCATCTCGGTCCTGACTGGTCCAGTGAGACATCAATCACGCCACTTCCGCTCACGAAGTTTGTGTGATCCGATTCTTCCCCCACCCCCACCCGTCCTCCCTTCAGGGCGGGATAGTGTTGGTCTTGGGGGGAGGTGAGGCACAGAATCGATTAGAGCGGGTAGGTTAGCTATGGGGTTGTGTGGAAGCACTAAAACTGTCCCAAGTAAAGATGAAAAGGAAATTAACCTCGACCTTTTTATAAGGCATTAAAGCTTGCTCTGTCATTCGATACGATCATGGCTGATCTTGTGTTTTTTTTAAAAACTACACGGAAACAGGCCTTTCAGGTCATCGTGTTTATAGCAGCCATCAAATATCCCATTTTCCACCATTTGGCCTTCTATTGCCACGTCGTTTCAAGTGCTCATCTAAACCACCCTCTCAGGCAGTGAATTCCAGATATCCACAACCATCTGGGTGTGGGAAATAAAACTTTCCTCATACTTCCGGTTCCTTACCTTAAAACTGTGGCCCCCTAGTTTCTCCCCGTTTCCCCTTTCTATGCGGTTCATAGTTTTGCTAACTGCGACCAAGTACCCCTCAGGTCGTTATACGGAAAACATTCCCAACTTCACTAGAAATAACAAGGTATGGAGCTGGATGAACACAGCAGGCCGAGCAGGAAAGCTGACGTTTCGGGCCTAGACCCTTCTGAAGCATTCTCCAGCATCTGCAGTTCCTACTATCTCCAACTTCTCTATTCTCTCTTTATGGGTTCCACCAACATCATGGTGAATCTTCTCTGGGCCTTTTAAAGCACAATCACATCCTTCCTTTAGAATGGTGACCAGAACTGCATGCAGTACTCGAACTATGTCCTAATATTATATACAGCTCCATCGTAACCTCCTTGCTCTTCCATTCAAGGCCTTGATAAATAAAGACAAGTACCCCACATACCTTATTCACCTCCTCTACCTATCCTGCTGCCTTCAACGATCTATAGCCACGCACACCAAGCTCCATTGGGTGTGCACTTGCTTTGTTAGTCCTCTGAAAATGTGTCACCTTTCAGTTTTCAGAATTAAAATCCATTTGCTACTCTTCAGCCCATCTGACATGCCAGTCATTATTGTACTGTAGTTTAAGGATTTCCTACTCACTATTTACATGGAGTTTCATGTCATCTGCAAACTTACTAATCAGAAGTGATACATCAATGGTCGAAATATTAATGTTACAACAAACATGGGATGCAGCACTGAACCCTTGAGTACGCCACCACGCGCATGCTTCCAATTACAAAAACACTGTTCAACCATCACATTCTGCTTCCTGACACTAAACCAATTTTGGATCCAATCTGTCAAACTGCCCTGGATTTCATGAGCTCTTAGCCTTTTGCGCAGTTTGCCATGCAGAACCTTATCAAATGCCTTATTGAAGCTCATGGAGACTATATTAACTACAGTAACCTCATGTACACACCTAGCCACATTGAAAAATTCATAATTGTCAGACATAATCTCCTTCGTACAAAGGCCATGCTGACTACCCTTGATTAATTCTTGCCTCTCCAAGCAGAGATTAATTCTTTCCCTTAGAATTGTTTTCCAGTAGTTTCCTTAGCACGAAGGTAGATTCACTGGCCTATAGTTTCCTGGTTTATTCCTAACACCTTTCTTGAATAATGGAGTCACATTATCTGTCTTCCAGGCCACACTGGATTTAAAAATTAACCTGCAATGTCTTCCCTAGCCTCCCACAGCATCCTAAGGTGCCTCTCATCTAGGCTTGCTAGAAGTGCCAATACCTCCTCTCTCATGATGCTAATTCATTCAAGCATATCACAGACCCTTTGCCTATTTTCAATACCGTTAATAATTTTGAATTTATGGCCTGATAATTTCATTTCATCATAAGACATAGGAACAGGAATAGGGCCATTCAGACCCTCGAGCCTATTCCACCATTCAATAGGATCATGGCTGATCTGATATTCCTCACAACCACTTTTCTGCCCTTTCCCTGTAATCCTGGATTCCCCTACTTATCAAGAATCTGCATATCATAGCCTTAAATATATACAAGGACTGTTCCTAAAGCTCTCTGTGGCAAGGCTTTCCAGAAACTCTCAACATTTAGAGAAGAAATTCCTTCTCAGTCTTAAATTGGTACCCCTTATTTCTGACACAATGCCTTCTGGTCCTAGACCATGAGGGGAACATCATCTTAGCATTTACCCTGTCAAATCCTATACATCATCCTTTTCTATACTGAATTCAGGTTCAAAGTACTTATTTAAAATGTCAGCTGTCTTCTGGCTCCAATCACAAATTACAACTCTGGTCGTTAATGGGCTCTACTCTCTTCCTTATTATTCTCTTGCCCCTAATATACTTAGAAACTGCCTGATTGTGGCTTTACCTCGACTATTCCCTCCACCAGAACCTTAACTCCCTTGTAAAATCAAAAAAAAAGTCCAACTTGGATTTGATTATGTTTAATGTTCAAGTGTCCAATGCTGCATGTTTGGAATTCTGTAGAGCCAGAGTTTTGCAGCACAGAAAGAGGTCTTTGGCCCACTGTGCCCACACTCGTCATCAAGTATCCATCTTGTCTCGCCCCTTTTTCCAGCATTACCATGCTATGGTGCTTGGGTGATCCTCCAAATACTTAAATATTGTGACAGTTCTACAATCCTTTCAGTACCCACTAGCCTATGGGTGAAAAAATTCTTGCCTAAATGCACTTTGAACTTCCTACCCATTACCTTAAATGTATGCCCTCAGTTATCAATCCCTCTACTGAGGGGAAGTGTTTCTTCCTACCCACTCCTCTCAATTTTTGTACACTTCAATCTGGTAACCCTGCCCTTCTTTACTTTAAGGGAAGCAACCCCAGCCAATCTAGAGACAACAAGGTGCAGAGCTGGATGAACACAGCAGGTCAAGCAGCATCATAGGAGCAGAAAGGCTGATGTTTCGGGCCTAGACAGATTTCTGATGAAGCGTCTATGATGCTGCTTGGCCTGCTGTGTTCATCCAGCTCTGCACCTTGTTGTCTCGGATTCTCCAGCATCTGCAGTTCCTACTATCCCAGCCAATCTAGTCCTTCTTCATACCTGAAATGGTCCAGCCCAGGCAACATCCTGGTGAATTTCCTCTGCACCCTTTCTAGTAATAATCACATCATTGCTAGAGCATGGTTACCAGAACTGCACACGACAATTCCCCAGCTGTAGGCTAACTAATGTCATACCCAGGTTCATCATAATCTCCCTGCTCTTGTATTCAAATACCTCAACTAATAAAGACAATTATCCCTTGTTAACTGCATAATTCTCCAGCTCCAATTATTGGATAGTCTAAGAGAAGATATACTTTCCCTTCTACATCTTAAATAGAAAGATTTTTAAAGTGTGTCCCCTACTTCTTGATTCCCCATGCTGAGAAATAGTTTACTCTCAATCTGTTTTCTCACTCTTATTTTTGTTTAGTCATATTTAACTGATTTCTATAATTCTGCCAAACTGTATGCCTTCTACTTATCTTCATAACATTGTATGACTTTTATTTCAATTTGAAACAATTTTTAACCTCCTTATGTAGCCACACATGGCTCATATTTCTTGCAAATTCTTTCTCAAATATCTGTGGTGAGAATTATACTCTACCTCTAAGTATCTGCCCTGCCTATTTTTCCATTTTACCTTTTAATAGCCAACTGTCCCTTTTTAACTGGCTTTATTTACATCTAAGCAATTAAGTTCAGATCTAGATTCCTCAGTTGAAAACTGAATGTGTAATTCTTCATGTTATGATCAATTTTCTCACAGAATCCTTTACAAAGAGTAGAACAAATCCAATTATTGTCTTTCAGTTTACTCTCAATAATGAAAAAAAGTGATGAAAGATGTCCTAAAGGTGCTATGAAATGGCACCCCCAATCAGCAACTTAAACATGTATATTCCCTTCACCATTGATGCACAGGGACAGCAGTGTGTACCATATACAAGAGACAGTACAGTAACTCACCAATGCACTTTCAAAATTACCTTTCAAACATGCAACTACAACAGCCTCAAAGAACAATGCCAACAAATGCATGGGAAAACCACCACCTGCAAGTTCTCCTCCAAGCCACACATCATCCTGATTTGGAACCATGTTGCCAATTCTTCATTATAGAAAATACAGCTTAAAATACTGCAGAACAAGAACAGGCCTTTCAGCTCACCATATCTGTGCTGAGCATGATGCCATTTTAAATTAATCCCATCTGTCTGTGCATGGTCCATATTCCTCTATTCTCTGCCTGTTCGTGTGTTTGTCTAAGTGCCTCTTAAACTTTGCTATCATATCTGCTTCTACCATGTCCCCCCACATTGCATTCCAGACACTTTCCATCCTCTGTGTAAAAAAAGTTTTTCGCACATCTCCTTTAAACATTTTCCCCCCATCTTAAACCTATAATCAAACCACTGAAAAACAGAACCGGAAGTGATGCCAACCACCCCAGCAAACCAAGGCATATAAATAACAAGCGGGACAGAACACCAATGCTTCATCGGAGGCGCGTTGATGATATTACCCAGCAGGGTGACGAAAATTCTGCAATCACACACACCAGCTTGGTAAGCAAGTCTACAACCTCATCCATAACCCAAGCTACAAATCTTCTCAAAAGCTTTTTTACAGTATGGTGCCTGCTAGTGGGAAAATAGACCAGTGTCCCAGCTGTGACTTCTTTCCTTTGGTATTTCTTATCTCCACCCAACTCGTTTTACATCTTGATCTTCCAAGCCAAGATAATTTCTTGCTAATATACTGACCTCATCCTTTATTCGTGGAACTTCTTTTCCTTTCTGTCTATTATTCAAAAATGTCAAATACTCCTGAATACTTGGTTCTACCTATAATCAGAGAAAAAAGCCTTTAGTTTTGTATTTTTTACC